ATCTCCTTCAGTGAGAGAGCATGGTGAGACAAAACAGCTTCAGGCCCTTTTTTTTTGTTTTGAAATGTGACAAATATTCCAACTCTCTTTTATCGCTTTTGTTTTTCTGGAAAAACAGCCAGAAAATATTTAACAGGAGGACAAAACCAATCTCTTACTTATTGGATCTGAGCTGGTTGGCAAATTACTGGGGTTGTGATGACAAGCCTGTACGCGCGTAAGAACTATTCATCACATTTATCAAGCGCTGATATAACAGCTCATTAAACACTGGAGGCCTCATTCATGTTAAGTTAAAACAAAGCAATCCAAGACAAAAATCAATATGCTCAGACCTCTTATCAGATAGTCAATTCTCTATCACTAAATGGTGACAGAAAATTACTGTATGTTAAATTTGCTGTAACTGTTGTCTGTACAGTTATCACCACACTGGACCTGTATCTTCTTTCTATGGTCTGCGTGAGAGTCTGGCCATACTCGCAGAGACTGTGAGATAATATTCTGCCTTATACTCACACTGAAATGAATATATTGCTATGATCATCTGAAGAGCAAACAACCAGAAACATCAACATGAATTTGGGCAAATCTGAGAAATGTAAACTAATATATATATATATACGTGTGTGACATGGTGCAGCCTTGAGCATGAGGTCATCAAGCACTTGAATACTTGAATAAAAGTGAATACTGTAAAAAGGGCATATGTTTACCACATATTTAATTTTTATAGGGTCTTGAAAACTCATGGAAACGGCACAAAGAGGTTGCAGAGTACTTCCATAAAGGCTTGGAAGAAATGGGCCTAAAACTGTTTGTGCAGGATAAGGTTGGCAGAAGAAGCCTTAAACATCACAACAGATTTCACATAACATATATATATATATCAAAAGACTATAACTCACATTACCTTTTCTGAAAGCATCTTGTGTCTTATAGAAAGCAAGACTCCCAACGGTGACCACAATAGTAGCTCCCCCAGGATATGACTGGCGGGAAATCACAGGGTATATTATGAAGACCTATAACATAGAAATCTCTGGGGGTCTTGGACCATCTGCTGGCATGGTGAGAAGCTATATTGATTTTGATTAATCATAACTGACAGACGTCAGGACAATAAGTTGTTCCCAGGTCATTGACTCAGTGGTCAGTAACAATAACTCGTTTCTCATATTTTTTACAGGTTTTGCGTGTGGGATTGATGGGATGTAACAGCAGCAAGGCCAATGTGGACAAGGTGTTGGAGGCCTTGGCTGAAGCGCTAAAACACTGTCATAAGAGCAGAGTCTGACAGCATGACCCGCCATCAATAAAACGTCCAGCATTTTAACCCTATATCAGTGGTGTTCAGTTATTTATGGCGATGTCCCTCTTTGAAAGAAAAACCTTTGTGGCCCTCTTTAAACAAAATGAAACACATAATTTACATGCAGTATCATTAATATAGCTGACACTTACAAATGTGTAAAAAATAAAAAAAAAAGAAGCCTACAATATTAGCAGTTGTTACATTTTAATTGAAAAACTGCTATGAAATAAACATGTTTTCCACATTTTTAAAAAATATTTGTTTCTTTCTGATGGCATAATCAGAAATAATGGAACCTTTTAAGTAGGCATTAAAAGTAGGCATTACAGGTTACAGAAATTGTTATTTTCTGTATATTTTCCGTTTTGCAAGAACATTTTAATTTTACAAAATGGCTTTTGCTATATCCCAAAATAAACTAATTCAAAAAGTGCTACAGTATATGCAATCTGAAAGGAATAATTCAGCCAAAATAAAAGTATTTTCATTTACCCACCCTTATTTTGCTCCAAACCCTTATCTAAATATATATCTTATATTTTTTTTTATCTAAATAAGTTACATAGTGTAGCTTTAAGGACAACATACACATTGCGTTTAAACTAAATTCAGGCATTTAAACTAATTAAAAGGCACAAAAAATGGTTACATTAAATATTAGTACTTCATTACAACATTGCATAACTACATAATCTGCCTAAGCCTCATGTCTGAAGTTGACATAAATAAAACTTTATAAACAACTGTGTCCTCACCGTTTCTAATCAGGGAGGTCGAATTCGTTGTCCCTTCTCGGGCACCGTCAGGGTTGCCAGGTTTTCACAAGAAAAGCCGCCCAATCGCTACTCAAAACTATCATTTCGAGGGGGTCCCCAGTTAAAAATCGCGTTCCGGGGGGTAAATACACGGTTTTTTTTTGGGCGGGGTTCCCCTACTAAAATTCGCATTCCAGGGGATACATATCATGTTATCGCAGTCGCTTCAACCCGCGGACATGAAAAACAACCCGCGGCAACAGTGTTAAAGTAGCCCAATTCCGCCGGAAAACCGCGGACTTGGCAACAGTAAAGGACGATACGAATTTCCGGATGTTTTTTTAAAAGAAAAGTACCGCGTAAAGAGATCACGGCGTATGAATGATTTGCTAACTATTATTTGCTCCCTATTGTCTAGTATTTGCTCCCTGTTGTTCTGCCTTTTTTTAAACAGTGTTTTTAAAAGCCATGTCTTACAGAAGAGGAGCTTTAATTGTTCTTGAGGGAGTAGACAGAGCCGGGAAAACAACGCAATGTCAAAAACTTGTGCAGGCGCTACAGCAGAGCGGACGAGCGGCAGAAATGATTCGATTTCCAGGTAAAATGACTTCCCTCCTCTTTTACTTTCCCATGTAAACCATTTTGTGAAGCCTTGCCAAGACAGACTCTGATATATTATCTTATATATATATATAT